TAAACCAACTGAGTGAAACAAATAAACATCACGTTGTAAACCAACTGAGTGAAACAAATAAACATCACGTTGTAAACCAACTGAGTGAAACAAATAAACATCACGTTGTAAACCAACTGAGTGAAACAAATAAACATCACGTTGTAAACCAACGCTTTCAATGGCGTGGTATAGCATTTCCTTTAGGTTTACTGACTACTAAGCTTCAACTGAATTTTGATAATGGAGTATTCTCGAGTAACAGCACCGTTTCTATAGCAACGGAGATTCGACGTCGTTTACAGAAACAAACCATAAGAAAACAATAACATAGCCATTATTTCTAAATGGCCTCTTTCTGCCACTTACCACAGATCAAGAAAAATTCGTTTTCCGAAAGTGCTCCTACCGAGATGGAGGAAATGACCCAAACTAGATGAACCCATAATTCAATCACTCATCTTTTATTTGTTAGAATTACTGACGTCAAAAAACGATGACAGTTACTATGGCTACCACACTTATTTCAGAAAACAATATATATTTCATTTGTTTGTATCGAAAACCCAACACAAAGGCTACCTGTGCTAACTAACTCTAATTATGAAATGATATGCCAAAGGAAAGGAAGATATTCAACAACAACTACCGCCAACTGTTGGGCTACTCAAATTGAATAGTGGGGGTTTGACCGCCGATCTTATAATTTACCCACGGCTCCAGAGTGACCAGCGCGATATGTCTGTACTTATTACATGATGTATAAAATAATGTTGTGGTCAGTAGACTGTGATCTGTTTGACGCCATTTTGCGCTAAAAGTACTAAAACTTACATAACAAAGTTTCTTTTGAGACATGATATACCACGTTGGGCTCTTCTTCTACACCCAGTTTACAGCCCGTAGTGGCAGTAAAAAAAAAAATCATTATACAAAAAGAAGTAAAAGGAAAGCGTTTACCGGTAAAAGTTTCCAATTTCCTTAATTTTATGCTAAATTTGGTCGAAAGGAAATTCACTCTTAATATACTGGTCTTATAGTTCGTTAAAAGACCGATAGGTGGCAGCAGTATCAGTCATTTATCCCTTTGTTTACATTATTGCACTCAGCAACAAGAAAATTCAATTTGTCAGATTTACCGAGTCGAATAATTTCCCTGGTGTAAAGAAGAAGAAGAAAAGGTTAAAATACGGGAAGTAAACAGAAATATAAGTTAAAATATGGGACGTAGCCAGAAACAACTGTTACTTTACTTTAGCTAAAAGGAAAACGTCTGATAGATCCAAGTTTGCCTTCCAAACACCTGAAATAGATACACTTAACTAACTATGAGCTCTACTATATAAGAACGAAGAACATACACAACTGTTACTACAAATGTCTTGTAGCGACTCATAGCTTTCGTGTTTTGAACGAGAAATGTTTGTTTATTTGTTTTCGAAGCAGGGACTCTAACCTCGGATTTCAGCGTCGTAACTTCGTAAACTTATTGCTGTCCTTTCGAATGAAAAGCGATAATTACACCAAACGTTTTGGAGAACATATTCTGGCTAAGGATACATTGGAGTAAGATGTCTTTTTTGTTGTTGTTGACG